TGTGAATCACATACAAAGAACTCCAGGAGTGTCATAAGACTTCCATTAAATGCCGAGGCTCACATTATTGACCTGAGAAATATGTAGGATCCAAAATTTGGAAGTACGTGATTCTTGCTCGAAAACAAAGCTCAATTTAAAAAATTCGCAGAAATTCAAAGGGTGAATATGGGTAAAAAATTTTTGCGGGAGAATCTTGCGGTTGGGTTCTAGTTTACGAAAATCCTTCATTTTCAGCCCGACACAGCCCGGCACATATTAAGAAACTATCTTATTTAAGCATCTTCATGGAAAATGCCCATTTTACTGAACGATTTGACAACAGCATATACATGCCAGACAATCAAATTTCTAACTATAGTAATATATATGTAAAAAGGGACTACTTACCATAAATAATGGCTGCCAATAAGCCTGCAGATGTAGCTTGTACCTGTCACTGCATACACACTTTGATTGGAAATCTGGACGTAAACAATACTGAACTAGAGCTGAGATGCGCGCGAAACCGCTGGGTTTACCCTATTTTCCTCGACCATCCAGTAGTGATAAGCGGATTCTGTTGTCACAATGTCATGCAGTAGATATCAGAGAATCATTATTTACCTGTTTTACCAAGCTTTTACCTTTTTTTTTTTTTTTTTTGACTTTTCGCCAGCTTTTCGGGTATAATACTCCACTGTGTGCCGATCGCCGCGCCGAGGGCTTCTCCTTTTCACCTCAAGTCCTCGTTATCATTTCACAATACGCACGAAATATACGTCTCGGAAACACGGCGAAAGCGTAATCTGCGTAATCTGATTCTACATTAGTTAGAAGATGTCGGCCTCCTATGGAGTAGTGCCGTGGTGGTTATAGCGCCAACCCCATAATCGGGAAGTCCCGGGTTCGATTCCCGGTCAGGCGACCCGAGTTTGATGGTCTCAAACAATGGTTGCCTGGGACTGGTTGTAGGGGCGGAGGGGGAACAGGACTAAAGCGCAGGATTAGTTCTTACGGGTTACTTAAAGTAGTAAAGAAAAGAGAAAAAAAGAACAAAAGAAGGATGCGCATTTGTGCAGAAGTGTTGCAAACAGATATTTTAGGAGGGGGAAATGATTCTTCGAGGAATGAGGATTCGTGACACGAAAAAGTCGAAAATGAAAAACGCTGAATGAAACATGCCCTTGTTTTTTCCACTGAAACTTTTGTACAGACTCTCTTGAAAATCTCAGGGATTAGTTTTACGAGTAATAGAGGGAATTCAGGAAAATTATTTTGCGGAGATGAAAATAAGGGAACTCTTTCCCGTCGGCATTGACGACTGATCTTTAAGGTGCAGTCTCCTGTCCCGATGTAATTTTCATAGCTCTTTAGAAAAACCTAATCATGGTAGCGTTCGGCTAGATGCCTCGTTCCTTTCATCTTTTTCTTCTTGGACGGGCAGTAAATTTTTTTTTGTTTAAAAAAAACATATTTGGGTTGAAAAGAGCGAAATGGGAGGTTTATGTCTTTCAGTCTTTGGTCATATATCGCGGTGAAAAGGTAAATGCGTTTTAACTCAAATTCGACCTCAAGCTTCATGCGACAAAAAAAAAATAAAAATTAAACATATTAACGCGATCTAAGCAAAAGTTATGGTGTCTTCAACAAATTCGCAAACAGAGACTGGTCTAGGTATATTAGATTACTATATCATTTGAGATTCCACCAACTTTCAGGTTCTGAAAGCCATGTAACAATATGAGTATCGCTGTATCATAGGTAGGTATTTTTGTGCTCACCATTAGTCGACTGTTTTTCCGGAACGAACAATCATGTGCCCTCAGTCATCCGCAAATTAAGAACAAAAATTAGTCTCTTGCCTGTGCACACATTATTCTGTCGCACGTTCTGTCATCTCATGAATGACGCTTGTAGCTTGTAGTGTTAACTAGTTCAATTTGATGTACGTGTGAGGTCATGGTCATAGTTAATGCTAGCGTTAGAAGGCATCGAAAAACGCCAGCGCGACATAGCTTGTATGATCACACACATTCGAGTGTAAGATATTGCGTTTAACAAAAATGAAGGGGTTATTCGTGCGCTCCTCAGAATCATTTGTATTGTAAATCCCCTACAGTCTACAGTCCTGAAAGTATTATACAAACCTATGACAATGGACAATTGAAACGGTCATTCTCAAAAACACGTAAGGGCCAGAAACGATAGAGAAAAACAGTCAAAACCGTTTTAAGCGACTTGTTCAAAATCTCGGAGGTCAGAAAAATTAATGTGTGAGAAGATTACAATAATTAAAAATCGGGTTGTGGTTATTTCAGCAATTTCCTCACAATTTGGACGTAAAAATAAGAAAGAAACGAATTGGAGCTTGAGTCTTTTTGAGAATGAACGAACTGATTTCAACATACTTTTCGTGTTGAAAGACACATTTTTGGTGTTTCAAGCCGTAATGTGCCCACACGAAAAAATTAATTTAAACACTTTCTCGACATATGCGATAGTAACTTACTGCTGATTACGTAACTGATGATCGCACACGTGCAAAAACTTACTAAAATTTTTAAAAAAAGAGAAATGTTTGGCCTGAAAGAACAAATATTTACACCCTCATTCTACGAAATTCGAGATGACTGCGTGAGGGATTTAAAGCGGATCAAGTCAGGGTCAGGGAGCACTGTATAACGCGTTGGCGTTTGATTATTTTTGAGAATGAGTGGTCTTCTCAGATGTTTTTTAGGCCTTATAACTCCGTTTTTCTGCTTGTCACTTTGCATTCTCCCCCGAATTCCCGTGCACGAACACAGGAGGCTACTGAATGTAACCACTCTGAGGCGGTCCTCAACCAGCACGTTTCTTATTATTATCGCAGATAAGATCGACCTTATGAAGTGATTAATGTCTGATTCTTGATCAGTAGATCCTAAGGAATACACGGAAAAAATTAAATTGCTGATTTAACAATTCAATTGCTTAAAAAAGTGACTGCAATTTTTCAATGTAGATTTTACAACAAAAAAATGCTACTTTCACCACTATTGTAAGCTAATTTAAGCACGGGGGTGGTTAGAGAAGCAATTTTTTGTTGTTAAATCTACATTGAAACATTGCAGACACTTTTTTAGTTAAATCAGCAATTTAATTTTTTCCTTGTAAGTACATAGGTACATACTAATTTTGGCCATTTTCATTGATGCTGATTTTCCGACTTTTTCGGCGCTAGATCGGCTGTTTTTCCCACTGTGCGATGATGCGAAGACTTCTCATTTTTACAACTACGAATGACAACTATTATTGATCATTATTGTAAGTTCCATTTCTCGTTTCGGACTTTCGGTGTGCGGTTTGCTGTGGGAGTGTGGGATCCGCGATTCACCTGTTGCGTCGCGGTGTGGATGATGTAGTTCCCGATTTCTCCGCCAGTCGTGCGCTTCCAGTGCCCGCGCGCGGTCTTCTCAGTGTTTTGTTTCTGTGCGGGCTGCGGTGAATCAGTATCAGTGTTTCGACTTTGATAATTTATTTGTGGTAGATAACATTCTATTTCGCGTCTTTATCAGTATTGGATTAATCAGGATATCCTCAATCGTAAGTTTCATTCATAACTCCGATATTTCTC